AATTAAAAAGCACCACCACCAACACCATCACCACCAAAAGAAAATAATTCAGTCATCACCCTAAATGAGCAATTATTGAAAGTTTTTATTGGGCTAGGCATCAGAAATGTAAAAACTATCCTATAACTCCATTATGCTAAATTTAAAAGAGATCTTAGTTGCATAGCCCAATCTATAATCATGCCAGTTAGGACACTTGAGGGCTAACTTCATAGGCTTTCTCAGTAACTCCCCTGAATTAGAATCAAAGCCTCCTTATTCCCAATCCAAAGCCATTTCCACAATTGCTCCATAATACATAATATATTTTATAACAAAATATAAGGAAATGTGTACAAATAGTTGTCACAATTTGTATCATTTTAAAATATATATATCACTTGTATCTTAAAGCAATTGTCATGGACTGAACGTTTATATCCTCCCAAAATTCATATGTTGGACCTGTAACCCCCAATGTGATGCTCTCCATCAAACCTGAGGCCTTTGAAAGGTAATTAGGTTTAGATGAGGTCACATGGGTAGGTCCTTGTGATGGAATTAGTGGCCTTATAAGAAGAGACCAGGAAGCTTGCTCTCTTGCTCTCTCTGCCATATGAGAATATAATAAGGCAATTGACTGCAGGCCAGGAAGCAGCCCTCAACAGGAACCCAAATAGGCCAACTCCACATCCTGAGACTTTAAGCTTCTGAAACATATTTCTGTTGTCTAAGCTACCCAGTCTATAGAATTTTGTTTTGGCAGCCTAAGCTGACTAAGCCAACAACCCATTTTACAGATACGGAAATTGAAAGCTTCAGATGTTAAAGAATGGTATTTTCCTCAAAAAAAAAAAAAGTCAAGGTTTAAGCCACTATTTACACTATGACTTTTCTTATTCTTTAAATAAAATTTGAATTTTTGTTTTTTTAAAGAGAATTTTATTTCATCTAAAAAGTATCTAAAAATATCAAGCTTGTTGTGTTGACCATTTTATCATGTTTTTATCTTCAGATTTTATTTGGTATCCAAGATCAGAGTAACACCAAGAGGAACTTTGATTTCCTTTTCAGACCTCTTCATTTATTCTGTATAGTGTTACAGAATTACCCTTGGTTCTATCTCTTGTTGTGATGAAAAGCTAATTCTTGGTTACTGTGGCTTTCTCTGCTCTAAGCACCTTGTTCTTTTAATACAAGATTAAAAATTATAAGAAAATATAAGTCATGTGTTTGTTCTCACCAGTTCAAATGCCTCGTAGCTATCTTTCTGTCCAAGCAGAGAACCTCTGCTCCATCACTCCTCTTCTAAGAGCTGCGCTTACTCATTAACTATTGTTTATACATCTCCTTCAGTCCTCTCTGTTTCTAGTCGTGTTTTTTTAGAACCTGTGTTTACCAGATTTTTCTTTCTTTTTTTTTTTTTTNTTTTTGAGACGGAGTCTTGTTCTGTTGCCAGGCTGACGATCTCAGCTCACTGCAACCTCTGCCTCCTGGGCTCAAGTGATTCTTCTGCCTCAGCCTCCCAAGTGGCTGGGACCAGAGGCACGTGCCACCATGCCAGGCTAATTTTTGTATTTTTAGTAGAGACGGGGTTTCACCATGTTGGCCAGGATGGTCTCAGTCTCTTGACCTCGTGATCTGCCCACCCTGGCCTCCCAAAGTGCTGGGATTACAGGCATGAGCCACCGCACCCGGCCTTAGATTTTTTCTTTAGAACATTACAGATTATAACCAAAAAGATAAGGAATCATTGAAAAAGATGACATGATGGTTTCCTTTCATGAAAACACTAGTTTCTATTGGTAATGGCAAGATTGATGTTGTTTCTTTTACAAAGTGGCAGCAGTCTCACTACAAAGGAAAAAAATCTCAGCAGAAGAAGACAAGAGAATATGCCTCATCCTGAGCTCTCTTTATAGTCCTAGTCAAATTCCTAGTCAAATTACCAGGCACTTCCAAGGGGACCACACACCCAGAATATTGCAAGTTTAGAAAGCTTTTAAAATCTCAGTCAGAACTCACTCTTTTCCCAGAACTTTGCCTTCATTGGTTTCTTTTTATCCTTTTGGAATTTACCAAAATAATAAGACATTAAAAAAAAAAGTCAGAGTAAATAGTGAGTAATATGACCGAACTTTTGTGTTTTTAGTCATATGGCAATGAAATTAGTTAACCCAAAGCAAATAGGCTGGGAAACAATTGAATTTTCATAACCTGTCTTTAGCCCTTGGCCTTCTTTCCTTTCCTGTGTTTTTTTTTTTCTTAAGTAATTTCTAGTGAGATTACTTGTTAAAGGTACCAGTTGCTTGCCCATACAAGTAGTAGAATCTACTTGCTTTCTAGATTTTTTTTTTCCAAAATTTGAATTTAGGAAGGCAAGTTGGTTTTTTTTAGAAAGCAAGGAATTGAATAATGGCACAAAAATGCCCCAAATGGAGCTTTTGGGACAAATATCTATGCATGATTTTCTTGTACAATTTTGAGTCTACCCCCATATCTCAGTTCTTGCTAATTTTTAAAGCTTTTATTTTTCCAGTTTCCTAGTTCAGTTATGCTCTCCATCAAAACTGACCAAGCCATATAAACATATTTGAATGGCTTTCTCACTTTCTCTGCAGTTATTCTGTGATAGAAATCTTACTGAATAGCTAAACAACAACAAAGAGTGAGCAGAAGAGTAGAGTAAAGGTACAGCAGCAATGGTTTTGAACCAGTCCATTTCCGAGGAGACGTTATAGCAGCAGTGGTAGCAGTAAGATCCACCACTTGTCAAATGCCAACTATGTGCCAGCCTATGTGCCTTTTATGTGTTTATTAAATTTTCAAATGACCCTGCAATGCAGGTGGTCTTACTCCCTTTTTATCATTTTGGAAGCTGAAGCTCAGAGAAGTGAAGCAACTTATTGAAGGCCACATAGTTAGTCAGTGGTAGGGTCTGTAGGAGAACACAGGTTATTATTTTTAAGCTGGTTTACTTTCTATTCCACTCCACTTCCAACTATGCTTCCATCCCAATTATAGCTAGTTGGGTATGATAAAAAGATTCTTACTTTCCCTTTTTTTGGAATCCTGAAATAAATTGAAAAATGAGTAAATTAGAAATTCATCCATAGAAAAATTGAAGGTAGCTTGTATATCTGAAGGCAGAATTTTATGTCTTTATCAAAGAGAAGGTATTCTGTTATTGAACAGTATTCTTACAGTAAGAATGCTAATGTATCCATGAATACATTAGCATTATTATTAGTAGAAATACTATGTATTTATGAATATATTAGTATTATTATTAGTATTATTCGTGTCTGATTATTCACTTACTGAGCATTGATAAGAGCTTCAACTGATACACACACAAATGTTGTGCTCTGGAATTATAGTCTAAAACAGATTCATCATCACACAGAATGTGCCCACATTGGTGTGTGGGAGGAGGATTATCAACATAGCCTCAGAAGTAAGCATAGTTGCAATATGGAACTACATGGGAAACCTTGCTTTGTGTTGGATATTCTCAGGGGTTCTGATCGATATTCCTTTAAGAAAAATGTCTTAAGAGAGTCAACGCACCTAAGGTGATATGGAATGTGTTAACATTTTTTGGCTCTATGGAAATATATTTGTTCTAGAGAGGTGAAAGGAAATATATAACAAAGAAGCTAAAAACAGTGTAAATCACATTAGAATATCTCATATTCTTTAGTGTTTTCCATTTGAAAGGAGGGTTGGCTATATTGAGAGAGTTAAACTTTGAGCTATCTACACAGAACCACTGACTCGTCTTTTTGATCAAAACCATTCAAAATTATGTAATTTCACACTTCTTAGAGAATTTTGTTCTCCAAAGAACATATGACATTTCCCAAATTACATATAAGGTGTTTTAATCCTATTTGCTAAGGCTTAGACTGATATTTGACTAAAAATAAACCAAGTCTACACCAAGATGACAGTTAAGATCACCATACAAAGTTCAGGGGCTTTAGTGTGCTACAGTTCAGGTAGCTGTGATGTGATAATGCACCTTAAAATGAACAATAGCTGCACAGTGGGGTATTTGTATTGGCAGAGATGTGTTCATTTTTAATACTTTCTGGGATTCAATGGTGGAGGACTGCTGAAGGACTATATTGTTGAGAAGGTGTGGGTGTGCTGCTCAACTTGGCTTTGGTCATTGTGATGCAGTAAGCTCAATCTGTATTGCAACAGCCTTCCCAGTTAAGTGACCCATGCGCCGTTTATCAGGGCACATATTAGAAAGATTCTGTCCTAATTTCAGTTAATGCTAAATGTAGCCAAGAAACTCAAATGAATGCCACAGCTCTATTTCACTGCTTTTCATAGGCCTTGCAATAAAAGCTAAACGGTTTTTAGTGGCTTTTGCAATTACACTTCCTTTCAATTTTCCAAAGGTTACAGGGCCTGAACCACACAAATCCCATTAAAGTAAGTAGCTGTTGTGCAATATAAGTTCCTTTGAAAACATTCTTCAATGCCCATAAAATGATCAGCGGGCTGCACTTTAGATCCGCTTGCCTGCCATGCTTTCAACCAAAAGGCAGATGACAAGCTTTGATGTGGTAGTTGGTTTTTGCTACTGAAGCTGGCATTTTATCTTCTTGCATCAGATTTTTTCCCAAACTGATGTGACCCAGGCAAAGGAAACACATTTTTCTTCATATTTTATTCCTAAAATATGTTTTTACTATACCTTTAAATTACATTTGGCTGACCAATGATTTGGGATGGCTAAGGTTCCTCCCACAGGATGCAGAACAGAAGAGGATGAGGGGCACTGGAGTTCACTGAAGCTTGCACGGTGAGTGCAAGGCCTTAGTGAATAGGGATCACCACATGCTGTCAGGTCCCCATGCTTTAGGATGGCACTTCAGTCCTTCTCCATTCTACCTCTAGTGCAACTTCAGTAGCCACGAGGAGTGCAGAGTGAACTTCATACTAGAGGCAAGGTCAGGGCTACTGTTCTCTTTAACTCATATTTGAATGCACAGAGGGTATCCTACCTTAGGCCTTCTTTTCTCAGGAAGTTCTTCATATGTATTCAAACATTGTGATCCATTAGAAACACCCATCTTTTTTAATACCTCTTTCTTGTGTATGTTCCTGGTGGTTTAAATAATTCGTGTATCCTGGAGCCGCTTTTCTAGTAAAGGATAAAAATGAAAGAATAATTCCTACATTTGCAAAGGAATCAGACCACAAAGCATTTTCCCTCTTTAAATCTGGTGACTATCTTACCTGATAAAGAAACGCTATAAAAGAATTTTTCCTCTGCAGGTAAAACTACCCAGAGACAAAAGACAATGCTCACAATATTACTTGCTATGTACTGTTAAAAATAATAATTGGAATTCAGAAATTACTCGGTCCTTTAAAACCTCAAATAAGTCACTAAGGTTCTAATATTCTGGGACTGCTTCTATACCCTAACACTACTGTAACTCTTTCAACTTTTACTGAAATGTAACATGTCAAGGAATCCTATCTCTTCTTTATGAAAATACCTGAATGCATTAAGGTGACAAAATATTTACATAGAAAGAATTGAACCATAACTTTTAAAAAGCATTTGATAATATGCTGATATATATATAGAAATTTAGAGACTGGGAAATCAATATGAATTGGCGCTATCAGAAAAGTTTTATAGAGAAGGTAAGATTTTAGATGTGTTTTAGGAACATAGAGATTTTAAACTGTGTCCTAAAGCGAAAATCATCTCCCATAATTGTGGGAGAAGATTGAAGATGGGGCATACTGCTAAGCTAAAATAACTCTGCACTTACTTAATTGATGAATCAAGGACTTATGGATACCATTGTAAAGAAAAATGCAGGAACATCTGGATCAAACTAGTGTCTAGATGAGAATGGTTGCATTTTTTAATGGCTATTCTGGTAGAAAGGACAACATGTGATATTCATCTACCCTCCTTCTCAGACTCTCTTTATAACAGCTAGTATGGAAAAATCTGTCTTTCCTGTAAATATTTTCCCTGGGTAATGGTTTCCAATTATGTGTCAGATGCTTATCATTTCTCTCTTACACAGCATGTATGTTATCATTTGTTCTTAAGAGTGGAATGGAATTGGGAATTCTGGTTTCTAGCTCTGGCTAAAGGTTCCAAGTCTGCATTGGGATTTTGGGCAAGTCATATTGTTCTAGATCTAATTTAACTCACCTGGAAAATAAGATGGTTGAATTAGACAATTTCACAGGTTTTATTAGATGCTAATATTTTATGACTCATGATCCCAAGCAAGACTACACCTATTTATTAGGATGTTTTGTTTGTTTTTACTAAGAGTGACAACATTTGCATATTTTCAGTTTGTTCAATCATCAAAAAAATTATAAAATACATAAACACCTTGGATTTGAAACATTGTGACTTTGATAAAAATGTATTCATGCTCCCTCTGGTTATTCTGCAGCTTGCTGAATCCTTCCCATTTTAGAATGCCAAAGAATGAGATACATCCTAATATCGAATTGGATGTCAGTATCCTCAGACACATGTTTCGCAATCAACCTTCACTGTAGTTGTTCTTGCAAGAAAAAATGATCCTCTTGTAACTGGTAAAAATACACTGCTTTCTCCCCTCTGTATTCAACCAGAGCCAAGAATCTGATAAATGTGTTTATCACAGGTCCTTCAGATGCCCTGCATTTGTAAACCTCTACAGTGTTTATGTTTCCTTTCGAACTGCTGAAGATACTGTGCTGGGTCCTGTTCTGCATTCTTGGGAAGAAACAGGGAGCTCACACTTTGTGATTAGTGAGCAAAGACAGACAATCCCCAGGACTGCCACTCAAGCTGTCTCCATAACCCGCTCATCGTCTCTTTCTATTATACTTGCACTCTGAAGGACATTTGCCAGAGCCAGACTCCCTGGGCCCCTGTTATTTGTGCCTTTTCTCACCTTCAACATCATCTGGACTAGTGTTTTCATTTGTTAAAAACAACAAGAACATTCACTGGGAAACTTTTGTTGGAATTGTTTCAGGTCATCATAGCTATTTATTCCCTGTCATAAACTATAATTCTCCATTTCCCTTACTCCCACGTCAAGGGAGTTGGTGGTTTATGGTGGAAAGTCAGTGGAATTTGATTGGACAGTGGAATATTTCAAAGAACTACTGAGATTATGTAGCAGGTTGTAATACTAAGAACAAAACACAAAATATTCTTGGTCTTGATCGCAGTTTGCAGTACAAGAAGAAATAGGCTTATAAAACAACATAAAATATTTACAATTTGTGCTTGTACCTAAGAAAGAATTTTCTTTGGAGAAGAAAACAAATCCTGGGATTGGCTTAATAGGGATTTTCTCTATATAATTAAAAATAATGGCTTAGGGTATAATTGGTCTCAGTTAAAAGAAGGTATAGAAGCTAAGAATTTTTTTTTTTTTGCAGACTTCTGTTTTGGGGGCATGAAATTCAAATTATTGTGCTATCACAAGGGCTTATATGACCTAGAAAGACCTGAAGTACAAAACAAAATGATTTGGAAAAAAGAATAAGAATGGTAGGAATGCTTTCAAAGATTAAATAGGAAGGAGAATACAAGTGCAAGATAACTACTAAAAGGTATTTAATACCAGGTGTTTGAATTCTATAGTGCTGATCTTATTGTTAACTAATTTTGCTAATAGCTAGTGGTATAATCAGTGATGTTAGTTGGAACATTTTAGGCCTTGGTAGATCTCAGAAATTATTATTAAATTTGCTCCGTTTTCAAGATGCAGCTGATTTTACATTCTTACTGAGTGTCACAGACGTGCTACTAAAGGCAGGGCTGCTAGATGAGGCACCATAAATGTAAAAAGCCAAAGAGAAGATCTGCGTAAAACCATGAAGCAGAGAGAATGGTGTGGTAGCTTCTTGGCTGGAGGAATCTGGTTGTGATCATATGACATGCTTTTCTACAGAAGCAGTCTTCGAAGGCCAAGAGAAGTTTCATGTTTTCTCTGAAAACATATTCAACAAGCATTTACTATACCTGGGTGCTTTAATTATCAAGTAGAAATGTGCAGTTTCTATTCTAAGCTTCAAGGGTATTCCTGGTAAGGAAGCATTGATGAAGAAGGGGTCTCATAGCGAAAAGACTTAGAGGCTCAGTTGTCAGGCATCTGAGCTAGGAGCTTCTGGATTTAAGCTACATTTTGACTCTGTACACAAATCTAGAACATTCCGTCAATCTGTAATAAGAACAATATTATAGCTGAGTTAGTTGTCATTGTGACTCGTGCTAATAGTTTTGCTGAGTGTGTTGTGTTTATAATTGGAGAGAATCAGAAGAATTTACATATTAGAAGAGACAGCCAAGAGTACTTTCTAAATAGTGAAATGGCCAAGCTTTCCTTTCTCCCCATCCTTACTCCAACGACTCATAGATTTCTTTTGGGAAAAGCTATGGTGAATATAAATCCAGTTCATTAGATGAAGCATGTGACTTTGAGTTTTGACAGCATAGTGTTGCAAATCTCTGGGAGCTACACAGAGTTTCTGCAGAGCTCAGGCCTTGGGGTGATAGTTGGATGGAGGTGTCAGCACAGTTGGTATTCTGCACAGTTTCACATATCCATCACTCTTGACTGGGCTGGGTAGGGGCAGCAGGATGGGGGCATACTTCTCTCTGACTGCTATGGACAACCTGGACAGTTAGCTCACCACACTACCTTTAGGGAAACTCAGAGAAAACCAAGGAAGAATTTTGACAGGTAAAAATGGAGTTCTGATTCTTCAAAGGTCCGTAAGATCTCTGGGTCCTAGAACTCAAGTTTGAGTGAAATGTTTTCAGGGATCTTTCGGAACTGTTTCCTGTTCTTCAGCCGCAGGCTAATGTTAGCTTGGGTTGATGGCACTGTAGCACTAGTCCTGATCTAGGCTGAGGCCCCTGAAGCCTGCCTTTGCAACAGCATGGAGCCTTGAGTGAATGCTGTTAGAAATTACTTGCTGCTTCAAGGAGAGTGAATGGTAAAATAAATCCCTCTAATGTGGTTTGAGCATTAGTGTCTTCTCTATAACTCTACATGTGTGTTCATGTATATATGGTAGGAGAGAAGGAAGAAGGAGATAATTGATCTACTTGATTATTAAACAACATGAGTGAGCATAATATTGCTAAAGACAAATAAGGTACAAAACCATCTACTCTTCTTCCTTTATCTCTAGAGAAGTCCAGAGAACGTGGCAGGGGTAAGATTTTCCTTGACAAACAGGCATCAAGGAGCATGCAAGTACTGTCTCTCTGACAGTTTAGGCCTTGTCCCAGATTCAAAGGCAACAGCCAAGCATTAGAATTGCTGGAATTCTTGACATATGAACTTGAGAGCACTAATGCCCACATTTGCACATGCAAAGTGGCATTTGGCTATAGGACTTTGATAAAGATGTGAGCAAATGAAACCATATCTCACTATAGATATATTGTAAAAAAAAAAAAAAAAAAAGTCTTAAGTGGGACTCCTGCAGTGAATTTGGCTTCTTTTCATCAGTGTATTGTATTCCAGATGATCAGCTGAACTCAGAGGAAAAAAAGAAGAGAAAGCAGCGAAGGAATAGGACAACTTTCAACAGCAGCCAGCTGCAGGCTTTGGAGCGTGTCTTTGAGCGGACACACTATCCTGATGCTTTTGTGCGAGAAGACCTTGCCCGCCGGGTGAACCTCACTGAGGCCAGAGTGCAGGTAACTCAAGCTGTGGGAGGCTGGCACCAAGGAGTCACCTCCTCAGAGGCACATCTCTGAAGGCTATTTAAAAACACACATTATAGCCCAGCACAGTAGCTGCAGGCATGGTGGTGTGTGCCTGTGGTTTCAGCTTCTTGGACAGCTGAGGTGGGAGAATCACTTGAGCCTGGGGGACAGAGGTTGCAGTGAGCTGAGATCATGCCACTGCACCCCAGCCTGAGTGACAGAATGAGACCCTGTCTCAAAAATAAATAAATAAATAATATACAAGTTATAGGCTTCATATGGGAGCTGGTACTCGTAAGAGTTACCAATGGTCAGCATGCGGATAGAATCCTGTTTCTAGTTATGTTTCTTTGAGGGCAGTGAGTATTTTTAAAAATAAAATTGAATGCCTTCAGGTAGGGCAGAATAATCCTTGCTACAGGTTCCTCTCCCCGCACCCCTTTGTGTCTGACCCTTCCAGATTTACGTGATATACATTGTCCATCTGAGCATTTTAATCAGCACCCTTAGATTTCAATTTGAGCTTGATAGTGGTTAAAGAGATGAATTCTCTGTCTCCTACCTCAGTTCTCCTCTCCAGTCTTCAAGAAACTTGTTGTAAGTACCCATGATATGAGCACTGACGGACTGGGAAATGAATACTCAGGAACTGAGTTAAGAGCACACTCAAGTGGATGATTTTGTTTACCCTCAAAATCTTTCTGTGAACTGAAAAAGGGTAAGAACATGAAAGGCAGGATAATGAGAATAGCCATTCTTTCTAGCATTATTGCCATGACACACCAACTGCAAGCCAGATCTCTGGAACAAGATATAACTTGTGATCAAATCATAACAATAACAATATTTAATAACTAATACTACTTGAGCCCTAATATGGCTAGTAGTGTTCTTTACATAAGCGATTGATTTCATCCTCACACCCATTCAATGATGTGGATAGTATTCTTCATTTTGCAGATGAGAAAACTGAAGTACAGAGAGGTTAAAGTATTTTGCACACCATCACATAGCTAGGAAGTATCTGAAATGGATTTAAATGCAGATATGCAGAACCAGAGTTCATGCTGTTAATCACTAAAAAATGAATAAGTAAAACACAAAAAAATGAATGAATGAGAGTCTCCTGGCTAAATGCCTTTTCCAAGTAGTACTTTGCTGTCTCTGCTGAAAGATCTTATTGTCTTCCATATTGCCAGTAGCAAGATGCTGTCTTGATAAGGTGGGTAGGTCCAATCTGTCTTATGAAATTATTATTTGTATATCTATGTTCAGTCTGAGTGTTAAGAATTTCTTTCTGCAAACAACCTTCTTGACCAGCTGGAACTTGAGCCAGACCCCAAGGTAGATTCCTGCACCGTTGATTAGGGTCTGTGCCCATGCAGGAGGCACAGTACACAGTGGGAGACAGCTGTGGAGTTGATGCAGAGATCCTGGTGCTCCCTTCAGCCTGAAGAGAAAGCATGAAAGCTTCCCCATGGGGAAACAGGGACCTCACCAAGAGGTGCTCCCCAAGAGAAAAAAGAAAAATGTCAGTGACAAAAGAAGAAAGTCATGGCAGCCTGTGGGGCCCCTGAGGGTAGGTTAGGAGGAAGTGTGAGTGAAGGTGCCCCTTTGGGCTCAATTGAGAGTGACCCATAGGGACAACACTCACACTCAGTTTTGCTCTCCCATTCACCATCCAGTGCAGATTATGAAATTTGTCTCCCACACCCTCTTCCCCCACACTGCTTACTACAAATCTCCAACTCTGCTCTTAAATCCTTTCCTCTCTCCTCAAACACGCCATGTCTTTTATGTCCCACGTCAGCCTGCAGTGGTGTAATGAATAATTTTAGTCCAGTAACCCACAGCACGCTACTGTGCCACTTTTGCTATGGTGATCTAAATTTTAAATAAGGAAACCTGCAGAGGACAATGGTGGACATTTCAAAAAAAAAAGTGAAGGACCAGTTTTGGGGTTGGTTGGGGGACTGTCTCACCCCTATCATGACAGGGAAGTGCCTTTCTTATATGTTGGAACTATTTTTTCTTTATCTCTTCCCACCTTGCTATGATTTAATGACTTAGAGCTGTGAACATTTCCTAAGTGAGTAGGACAGAGTTCTCCCTTCATGACTTTATTCTTCCCCCATGAAAGCCTTCTTTTTCCCCATCTGAACCAATCCCTTCTGACTCTGGGCTTCTTTATATTTACGGCATTTAACATAACATGAAATGTATTATATTGAGTTGTATCTGGGCCAACTTCCCCCACAAGACTGAGGAGGTCTCTTGGATGGAGGCCATGTTTAATTCATCTTTGCAAAATTTATTTTTTTCTTCTTTTTCCTTTTTTTTTCCTCAAACACTTATCAAGCACATATTATGCTCTTGAATCCGGTTTTGGTTTGCTGGGGATAAATAAGACACTGATCTTCTCCTTAAGGATGTTTGGACTGGGACAGAGAAGAGAGGTGTGCGAACCATACACTTGAGATATCATAATATTCCTATTCAATGGTATGTAAAATAATTAGTGATAGATCAGATGAAGGAATGATTAATCTGCCTGGGGGAAAAGGGAGGGAATTTATATTTATTAGGCACCAATTCTGGGCCAACTCTCAAAACTATCCTGTAAGTTAGATATTATTATTATCTCCAATTGATTAGGAGACAAAGGAGTAGAGAAATTAAACAGCTCCCAGGACAAAACTTGAAAGTAGTGTAGCCACTATTTTTATCCAACTCTGTTAGACTTTTAAGAGATGTTCGATGTTAAAGTTGAATTTTGAAAAAAATATGTGGGCTTTGACACCTGGACAAAGAGGGGAAGAGTATGATAGGCATATCTGGTGTGAATATTTTTAGGTGGGAAATAGCCTAACACATTTGGGAGTCCACAGGTAATCTTCAGCACAGGGTAGGAGCTGGAGCCATAGGGGGCCAGTGCATGAGGTTAGAGTGATGTGGCTTGGGGCTGGATCAATGGACAAAGAGCTAATTCCTGAACAGTCTTTGTTCTATGGTAAAAAAGTTTCTATTTTATTTTGTGAGTAATGGGGAGTCAGTAGATGACATAAAACAAGGCATTAATGTGATTAACATTTAAGATGATAGCTCTAGCAGCAATGTGAAGGCACATTAGAAACAGAAGAGCCAGGAGTCGGGGAAGACAAGTCCAGATTCCACGTTGGCCAATTTCCACACAGGCCCTTCATGCTGCCAGCTCTACAGGGCACTGATCACATGGTATTTTATGTGTATGTTGTCCCTAGAGCTGTACAGCTACTCACTCTACAAAAATAACTTTCTTCTCCATTACCTTGTTATACATTTCTGTAATTGCACTTAAAATATTGTTTTGTAGTTTTTCAAATTTTACATGTCTTCCTTTAATAGATTGCGAGCTGCTTAAAAGCAGATAATAAATTTCTCATCTCTCTCCTTCCAGCATTTAGTACAGGGCTTAGACCATAGCAGGCACTCCATAAAGATTTCTTGAATGAGAAAATGAATGAGTAAAATTCCATAGCACTCTAGAAGAGTTATATGATCATGAGATGGATGGCCTTGAGTTCAAAAACTCAGCCATGTATTATTTATGTGAATTTCAACAGATTACAGTCATACAGTGCTTAACAATGGGGATCTCTTCTGAGAAATGAATTTTTAGATAATTTTGTCATTGGGCAAACATCATGGAATCTACTTCCACAAATCTAGATGGTATAACTGACTGCACACCTAGGCAATAGGGAATAGCCTATTGCTCTTAGGTTACAAGCCTGTACAGAATATTACTGTATTGAATAGTGTAGGCAATTGTAATAACATGGTAAGTATTTGTGTAGCTAAACATATCAAATAGGAAAAATTTGGTATTATAATTTAATAAGACCACCATCGTATATGAGGTCCATCATAAGTTCCTTGTAGATTCTGGATATTAGACCTTTGTCAGATGTATAGGTTACAAAAATCTTCTCCCATTCTGTTTGTTGTCTGTTCATTCTGACAATAGTTTCTTTTTCTGTGCAGAAGCACTTTAATTAGATCCCATTTGTCAATTTTTGCTTTTGCTGCAATTGTTTTTTGACGTTTTTGTCATGAAATCTTTGCCCATGCCTATGTCCTGAAAGGTATTGTCTAGATTTTCTTCTAGAGTTTTTATAGTTCTGGGTTTTATATTATGTTTTTAATCTATCTTGAGTTAATTTTTGTATACAGTGTAAGGAAGAGTTTCAGTTTCAATTCTCTGTATATGCATAGCCAGTTCTCCAAGCACCATTTATTAAATAGGATATCCTTTCCCCATAGCTTGTTTTTGTTAGGTTTGTTGAAGATCAGATGGTTGTAGATGTGCAGCCTTTTCTGAGTTCTCTATTCTGTTCCATTGGTCTCTGAGCGTGCTTTTCTAACAGTACCATGCTGTTTTGGTTACTGTGGCCTTGTAGTATAATTTGAAGTCAGATAGTGTGATGCCTTCAGTTTTGTTCTTTTTGCTGAGGATTGCCTTGGCCATGCAGGCTCTTTTTTGTTCCATATGAATTTTAAAGTAGTTTTTTCTAATTCTGTGAACAGTGTGAATGGTAATTTAATGAGAATAGCATTAGATCTCTAAATTACTTTGGGCAGTATGGCCATTTTCATGATATTGATTCTTCCTATCCATGAGCATGGAATGTTTTCCCATTTGTTGGTGTCTTCTCTGATTTCCTTGAGCAGTAGTTTGTACTTCTTGAAGAGATGCTTTACTTCTCTTGTTAGCTATATTCCCAGATATTTTATTCTCTTTGCAGAAATTGTGAATGGGAGTTCATTCACGATTTGGTTCTCTGCTTTTCTGTTGTAGGTGCATAGAAATAATTGTGATTTTTTTTGCACACTGATTTTGCATCCTGAGACTTTGCTGAAGTTGCATATCAGCTTAAAAAGCTTTTGGGCTGAGACGATAGGGTTTTCTAGGTACAGGATTATGTCATCTGCAAACAGAGACAGTTTGACTTATGTAGCAAACCTGCATATCCTGCACACATATCCTGGAACTTATAAAATAGAAAATAAATAAAATATTTTAATTTGTTTTTGGTAGGTTTATTATTAGCTGTAGCAAATGCTGTCAGCTGTCTGTCAATGCTGTCCATTTCCCTTGAACCCTACAATTAGGTATAGTCTTGTCTGCTTCCAACTTTTAATCTCCACATTTCTGTGCCAGCAGTGTCTTACTAGAACTTCAGGAGACTGCCCTGCCTCCACATTCCAGATGTGCTGGAACATTAATAGCCAATGGCTGGCAGGATCCAGTGCACACACACCCAGCTCCATCACCCCCGAGAGGGATAACTCTGAAGTGTGTGCCCTACATTAGTCTTAGTCTTCAACATCTCTGAATGGGATTGAGCCGCCACAGAGACAACTTGTTTAGTAGTACACTCTTTAGTGATTACCTTATCTTCTATGTTACTTCTTCACTCCTCTACTGGTGTTCCTTGCACCTCCCAAATAAAACACTTTCTTCTTAAATCTTTGTTGGAACATCTACTTTTGGGAGATCGGAAATTTCCTTAAAATATCTAATAATTATTGTGAAAGCAGATGCGATTTTCACATTTTGAAGAAAGAATTTTGAAAAAGCTTTTAGAAAAGTCATTATTTCAGTGGCAGAAGTCTAATGAGATTTTTCTTCATTTTTCTTGATTACCATTGTAACAGGGATTATAACCCATATTTTGCTGTCCTGTGGGTCAGTCACAGATTTCATCTCTGGAGACCTGATTACTGGAGAATTGTATGGTCCTGTTAGAATAGCCTTGAACTTTAAGAATGGCCCTCATGAGGGAAGGAGTATGGCATATTTCTATTGTTCTAAGGAGAATTCCATAGCCATCTTATATCTTCCTTTGGAAGGTGTTATATAGTAAAATCAACCAGAATTTCATTCATGTATCCCCTTCTTTGTTTTTCCTCTTTCCTCATGCCCTCTCTCCTCCTAACAATTTTCCAGGTGTGGTTTCAGAACCGAAGAGCCAAGTTCCGCAGGAATGAGAGAGCCATGCTAGCCAATAAAAATGCTTCCCTCCTCAAATCCTACTCAGGAGACGTGACTGCTGTGGAGCAGCCCATCGTACCTCGTCCTGCTCCGAGACCCACCGATTATCTCTCCTGGGGGACAGCATCTCCGTACAGGTGAATGACTGGCCCACTCTCCCTTGCTCCACTTCCACATGTTTCTCAGCGGTTGGTCATGTTTCAAGCTGCTTGTGCAGGTCACTGACATTTCTTACTGGGTTAATCTCTTCAGAGACATTCAATTGCTGGCATCCCCACATTTTCCCAGGAGATTATTAGCTGCCCCAGGAGCAGGGTTTGGGGCAGAAGTGAGAGGGGCAGGCTATCTCAGCAATCTCCTCTTGGACTCAGGAACTCTTGCAAAGGTTTCAAAGATGAGGAAGAATCTAAAAGAGCAGATCATTAAGCTATGCCCAGTGTCCCTCTTGTGACCATTCTGGAACAAAACTTTACCCTGTTTCCAAATTTAAGATAAATTTGTTGTATTATGCAAATGTAGGGACTTTACTTGTAAGGCTCCAAGTATAGGGCCAAAGGCAAACTTTGCAGTAAAACTGACTTCGAATTTAAAAAAAGAAGAAGGAAGGAAGAAAAGAAAGAAGGAAGGAAGGAAGGAGACAGACAGAGAGGGACTATGACAGAAAGGGAAGGAAAGAAAACCCAAGTTCATTCTGATCACTTTCATGGCCAAAGTTCTTTGTTAGTAGTTGTGAATTTCTTATAATGCCAAGTGCCTTCCTAATCTATTGCTAATTCTTGTCTACTTGTCTGAAGGTTTCTTTGGGGGTCAGTTTGTGTATATTTGTGTGTGTGTGTGTGTGTGTGTGTGTGTGTGTTTCTTTTAAATAAAGGAATGTATAATTTACACTAAACTTTTATATTAAAAAGTTGAACAATTTAAAGAAATTAATTAATTAATTAATGGAGTACTATTTCAATTTCATAGAGAGGCTTTTAACCTCCAATTATTATGCTATTCAGAAAATATAGGCTAATGCCTGAAGGGAAGCTGAGACACAAGTGCCTAACCCATTGGATTAGTCTAGAGTGCCTTTCTTTGAAAGTAAAAGGGGACCTGAGTACTCTGAGAAACGAGGTCAAGCCTATGTGTTCTCCCTGGCTGATTTTAGTGGAGGAAGATCTATTCACAAATTCATTTATTATGCTTTTGTTTACCTTTTTATTGTCAAGGTTATTTATTGGCTTAAGGAGAGGTTTTAAATGAAATATAAAAGATTATGTCTCAGATGAAGTTGAACTCCTGATGTGAAATGCCACATCTTGAAATGCAAATATTTTTCAAAGGTTGACAGTTTTAATCAAAGCAAAAAGCCTCATCTAAATGTTTCTTTCTATTCTAAATCAGTTCATTTAGAGAAACATGGTAAATGCACTTGGAAATTTCTTTTATATCTCCTGTTATAAAATTAGCCTGAATTCTTTTGGTCTTAGTATATAGAGACCCAGTGTCTGGGGAAGTCTTATTCTGGGCCCTATTGCACTCAGATGGTGGTACACCTTGCTGAGCTTGAAACATTAGTAATATCTGTGTGCCCTATTTTGAATTTAAACTCCTCTCCTATAAGATTTACTAAAAACACATTTTTTGAAGACCATTGTGAAATCACATATTCTCTAATATTTTAAGTAAATGGAGGCTGCTTTATTTCTCATATATATTGGTATAAGAGAAATTTAGTGTGTTCAAGAACATGCTTAATGGATTGGAAAATGGGTGTGGTTCAAAGCCTGATGTTTCAAGATCTCTGGTTTGAATTTGATCACAACCAAGAAGTATTGCTCCTTTTTCTGTCTGGGTCCTCCATAAGAACTTTTCACACCAGTCATAAATAAGCCAGATGGCTGTCACATGGTCCTTACCAGTGAGAGGCTGCACACAGCACACTGCATGAATGGGGATGAAATCCTTCCTGATTTAATATAGGGTTATATTACTTGGACCTCAGCCGTGTGAGCCTCAGTGTCTGTATCATATGTGTTTAGCATATGGCAATATTAACATGGCAATATTAACATGGCAATTTATGCATGCCTTTTTTGGAAATATTCTATTTTAATGGAAAGAATTATGTAGAAATACTGGACACATTTTTTTAAAAATCCATAATTTCACCATCTTGACATAAGTAGTATATTCATTTCTGTGATTAGAGTTCAATATTTTATACAGGTATAGCCTTAGTGTATATATTATTTTGTATCCTGCTCTTTTCACTTAAAATCATATAACCTAGTAGGTTTTACTCATTTCATGGTATGTTTTTATATCATCATTTCTCTCTTAGAAATTGAATTTGTAAAAATTAAATATCATAAAATCTGATTGTTCATATTCTGTATGAAGAATAAATTAATCTTCAGATATAAGTAGAAAAGTGATGTTAAAGCAATAATTTAATCAATGACAATGTTTTTTGAACCAATGTTGACTGAAGTGTTTATATTTTGGTTAATTTCTAAAAGTAGCAAAAAGCTATTCTGTTACTTGGAGAATTTTCTACTATGTTTAGAACCAAACTATGTTATGATTTCACACTTTGAAACCTGATAGGAAATATTGTTAAGGAAATAAAAAAGAAAAACAAGTGATTCAAAGCAAAGGAAATTATAGACCTTTTGTATTATGAAAAATTAACTCACTGTTCTTGTTGGTACTATTACGTCAAGTTAGTTATCTCACATGTGACACTCATTAAAAGGCATTTCTCTTGGTTAATTCTTGGAACACTCCTGTGTGACAGCTCTGTCTTGCTCTGCTTCCAAAGAAGAGACTAAATACTTACCCAAATTTAAGCCTTCAGCAAGCAGAATTAGAACTAATGCTTGCAATCCCTCAATGCTTGCGATCCCTCTTTTTATACAACATGTTAAGCCACATGACTGTATTTTCATTCAAATTAAACCTTGCATTGTATCAAAAAAAAAAAAAAAAAAAAAAAAAAAAGTATAAGATTGGAAAACTATCTGAAATCCCCTTTTTATTCAAGAGCTATCTTAGATCAGTGAGGCATACCTGCAGCTGGGGTCCACGCTTTGTGGGGTGTGGGCATACCATTGGACTGATAGATGTGGCTTGGTCATACAAATCAGGGACAGTGAGAAGACAGTTTTGCCAGAAAGGATAGTTTGCTGACTTCCACAGTTATTCCCTGAAAAAAGAAAGGAGAAAACCAAGGCACAAAAGCAGTTATTTGCATATGATCAGAATTATGGGTTGGAAAATAGCCAACACATTTTTTTTTCTAGGTGTCTTTTACATCCAGAGTGGTAGCTGTATAATTTATTGTTCAAACTGGGATTTTTTTAGAGTGAAAGGGGAGTGCTATTAATAATTATACTAGGACAACATGTATAAACCAGATTGTCTCTGGCAAACTGGGACATATAGTTTGCTCTAATTATAGCACATCATGACCTCACTCATTCCCTTGAGCATGTTAGAGGTGATGACATTAGGCAGGCAACTGAGACATCAGGGGCACAAAGCGTTCTCTAACACAGACACTGTTGTCTGGCAGGTGTCTTCTTTACCCATCCTTGGCCAGTTAAAGGAAGCTTGTTTTTGGCACCCATACCCATTGCTTAACTCGGAACTGTTTTTCTTAGGCAAATTGTAAGAATTAAAGCACACGCAAGCACCGGAATTATTCAGACTCACTAATCTTGCAGTGCTTTACTTCTTGGGTAGCAGTGATCAACCAAGTCCTGAACTTTTGACTGCTATTTGAGCTGAAGTAGCCAAGAAACATTTTCCCAGAGACATCCTTTCCTAGATGAGGTGAATAGTGAATGGCCTGGTTTTGCAGCATTGACCTGAAGTGCCATTTCCAGAGGGAGGGCTGGGCTTAAAAGGAAGCTAGTGATGAGTGAAAGAGGCCAACTATCTCTGTCCAAAGCTTCCCTCCCCATCCTTCTCCCCACCTCATTTGATCGTGGTCATGGTGCTGCCTGACATCTGCTGAACGCATTTGGCTTATTTCTCCCTTTCACACTTTCAAAAATAGATCCTCGTCCCTCCCAAGATGTTGTTTACACGAGGGGCTTCATAACGGATTCTAACGGAAGACACTGAAAAGGTAACTTGTCAGAGGGGGAAGAGGGCGGCTGCTTGGGGTAGGGTTTAAGTGGGAATTTAGAGTGTCTAAGAAAGTGGGGTTTGCAGTTCTAGAAATTTCAGCAGTGAAGCCCTCAAGTGAGGAATACTATTGGGAACCAGAGCTGTGAGAAAGCATGTCCACAAAATGAAGTGTAGTATGATACTAGTCTAGAGCAGGGCTCTTCAGAGATTGCTGTGCACAGGAAGTATCTGGGATCATGTGACTGTGCAAGCTCTGATTCATTAAGTCCAGGGTGGAGCTTGGATTCTGTATCTCTAACTTGCTCCTAGGTGATGCTGATGCTGCTGACACTTGGTACACACTTTAAATAGTGAGGCATTGTAGGTTACAGGACAGGGTTTGGAAGAACTATGTTCTTGTCCTGGCTTCTGCTGCTCCTCAGGTCAGTGAGATCATTGTTCTCTTATGTAGCTTTGTATCTAACATGAAGCTAGCACTAGTTTCCCCATTGCTTATTTCACAGGGGTGTTTGGAACCTACCAATAAGCAATGTGCACTTCCAAAAAAAAAATCTTGCAACAAAAGAAAGATGCAAGAGGCTCTATATATGAAAATATTTCTAAAATGAAAAGTTAAAAATGGCAGAAAAATCACTGAAAATATAGTACAAACTGAAAGCTTACTAATGAAATGTACAAGTGTGTTCACTTTAAGAAATAAATATACGTATTAGAAAATCAACTTCTGAATTTCAGTACAGAAGTTAGAAACAGAAGTTAATTATTTACATCACAAAAGATCCCTTTCAAAAGAATTTACCAGATCTCTTTTTAAAAGTAAATTTCCCTAGGAAAACTGGTATTACATTTTGTCAGGTGAAGCAAGTATACCTCCGTTGTTCTTGCACTGACAAAAGAACTAACCAAAGAGACTTTCTGCAACTTCTATGCATCACATCTTGAACACCATAACCCCTACAGTCTTTGAAAAAATCCTGAGCTGGTGAAACCCAAGGATTTCATAGACTTCTTAGGCCGACAGATTTGTTTTTAGGGTGAAATTTTAAACACCTTGCCATCATTTGTTCAAAGGGCCACATAGAAAACAAAGAGCTAAAAATGAGTCTGGTATTATTTTTTCCCCAAGCTATCCATTGTTTTGTGATTTGCAGGACTTAACACTGTAGGTTTTTAGAAAGCAGAGAAGCAGCTGTTCATAAGTTTCCCAAGTTTAAAATCATAGCACGAATAGTATTTTCTGTACTTCCTCTATGTTTGGTAGTCATTTTAACATATTTTTTTCCTCTCACAGCTTTCAGGGTAGATTGAAATGATAAAAATGATTTGTCCCCAGTGAAAACAGTACTCTAACCCTGCTGGTGGTTAGCATTCTGCTATCTATGGCTGTGCTGCATCTGCTAGGAATCTCCAAATAAGGAGATGGAAACATTTGAAGCTGATTTAAATGTGTCAGCTCTGTGTAAGTCCCAGTGCAGACTAGCTGAGTCAACAGATAGGATCAAGCATTTATTATGAATCCCTAATTTCTCAATGCACTTTATTTAGTAATGTGGTTTCTTGGTCACTGACACAAAGAACTTTACTAAAACTAACTAAAAATGGTTCTTTAGCCAAAGCCTAGAAACTCAGTCCCAGGACTCAGCTTATGTCTGTACCCTACTTCCAAGAATAAATGGGTTTTACTTAGAAGGCAAGACCAACAGGCAGGATCTCTGGTGCTGTTAAGCAGGCTTTTGGTTGTTGTCATGTGCTTAATCTGTACAGATCACTTAGTTTCAATCTCCCCATTTTATCTGAGCAAGCTGAATCCTGTATAGGAAGGACTGGCTATTTTACATGCTCTGAATGGCTCTATAAATTGGTTGAAAACAGTTAATTACCCTCATTGGACCTTTAAGAAAACATTTCAGGGTTCTTTTTCTTTTCCTAAAGCAGAACTTTAGAAGTTTCCATGACATGGAAAGCAGATGGTCATGAACAATTTCATATTGGCAGCCGCTCAAGGCTGTCTTGCATCTGTTGACACTTTAGGAGACAGGTCCTCTCCATCTTACTTCTAATGCCATATTTGAAGAATGACTAAGCTACTCTTAGAGTACTCACTAATTCTGTCTTTTCTGACTTGTAATAATAAGTTTTGCTTTTCACTGGTGTGTCCAAGGACTGCTCACTGCTTGCCTATATGGCACCCTTAGCATAAACTGAGAAGCTAGATCCATGTCAAATTACTGGAAAACAGACTTGCAATTATTTAATATGTGCCCAAAATATTATTGGAATCCCTATTTGTAGGATTACATATTCTAAACTTTTGTTAAGAGGCTATGAATTAAGATGGCTTTAGTTCTTTTAGCCTACTTCTTGTGGCTAAGGAATGCTGGAACAAGTTAAATCAATTTTGAAAGTTTATACATTTCCTAAGCATTTATCAAGTGAAGATGTTATCACCTATCAAGCTCCTAGAGAATTGCAAAATTCATTCATTAAAAACAACTGCTTTTTAATCCTCAAGCTCCACTAATTTGAGGGATACCTATAAGGCATTGTCACAGACTCGCCTTTGGTGATGTTTTTATAATAATGTCATCATATAATCAGACAAGGGCACTGTTCTTTACTGTGGAAAATCAGGCTGCCATTTACGTGAAAAATGTTCCTGTGAATATCCAATCTCCCATGCAATCGATGATCTTAATTCCCATTAATTTGTGTTTGAGATAGAAAGTGCATCAACATTCTTCTCATTTGGGATATTACTGTCCTGCCTACACTCGAGAGAGAAACTCAGTATTTCCAAGAAATATGTTCCCTACTAAGTCCTCACTATAATATCAGGTGGTAAAGGTAGTTGACTCTGAAATCACTACAACAAAAATGGTCATATAATAGGCCACTTGTAATCACTACTATGTAGACATTTCTGGGAAACAGCAATAGTATCTTCAGTAAACTAAAGATTCCAAGGTTCCAATCTTCCTTTTCAGCTAAAGAGATGGAATACAACTTTGATTATCTAAGAAAGAGCAAATTTTTGTTAAATAGGACTTTGCTTGTCCAGAATCTCAAAAAACAAAAAACACATCCCTCAAAAAATTAGACCAAGTACTTAAGAGCACAATATTCTATGACAATCTACAACTTAGCATCAGAGAACTATTTTATGTAGTTTTAGCCTGTTTTCACAAGCCATCCAAATTTATTTCTCAATACTTGCAAATAATATAGACAACTCCTAATTCCAATTTCTCTTCTGTGTGTTTAAAATTATACTAACTGTGCATCATCTTTAGGGCTTAATTCTCTCACAGAAAACTGATTGAGAAAGGTTGACTTGGTTGATTTTATAATAAACTATGACTTAGGAACATTTCCCAAATCCAATAGTCTTTTTTTCTCAGCTATTTAGATGTTTGGGTTCTTGGCATATCCTAGAAATTTTTTGAATATAGGTTTTGTGAGTTTACATACATTTATTATAAGGTCTTGAATGGAACCATGAACTAAATGATAATATGTATATGGATTTTGAAAATAAATGACATTTCTTGGTACATTCTTAAAAAAAAAAAAAACTTATCCCACTTTAGTGGATTGTTCTGGTCATTTATCTCACTTCTAACTTAAACCTACCTTAACTGGGAACTCTTCTGCTTCTATCATTTTGTAGGCAGTGGTAGAAGTGATAGTCTATTCTAAAACTCTAGATTGTACTAATAATTTCTTCAGTTTTTATTGTGAAAGATATTTTTTGATGGATCCAAGTATACACAGTCATCAGCTACTGCTTCTGTCATATGCAACTGACTTTGCTCTTTCTATTACGATAGTAAAATTGACTTTAAGGACCAGTTCCTATGAATAAAAGCAAAGTGATAAGATTTTTTTTTTGTTTTTTTTTTTTTAGAGATCATTACTCTTAGCAGAATGACAGAAACCAATGACATCGAGCAGGAATCAATTTAATCATACTATATCTAACTATTTTTAGTTATCTGTCTATTCATTGAACATACAGTACTAGATATGGTGTCATCTCTACCTGAGGATACACTTGTGAACAAGGCCGATGTGGTGTCTGATCTATGGAGCTCATAGTTGAAACAGTGATAGATACTAAGCAAATTATTAGCTAAACTTGAATTAAATGCTAAAAGCAAAAGTTCAGTGTGCTGTAAAAGAACCTAACCTTGTCTAGAGGGTTGAGACCATCTACCACAAAATGATGAGAAAGAATGAAGCACGCAAAAATGAAATAGAAGAAAGTAGGATCCCTTTGTAACCTTTCTTTCTCCTTGTGTCAGAACACATACATGTATGTGTGTAAACACATACACACCCATACACTTAACCAGGTCCATAAAGATTTTTAATTAAAGATGTGTATTTCTGGAAAGACCTAGTGATCTGGGACTCATTATATTTCTTTAACTTAATTTTCTTGCGTTAATTATTAGTAGATGAGCTGAAATAGGTTATTATGAGTTTTGACTACATTGTGTCTCAAATAAGTATCAATGATATATTCTATTTGTGGAGTAGCTTTACTTTTCTCTCTTTCTGATCTTGTCACTTGATCCCCAGAACCACAAACTCTTATGTGACTGACAAAATTCCATTGGAATGCAGGCAACAGAAGAGCACATGTCATTCCATTTATAAGTCTATCTCATTCCAGCCCTCACTTGAAAGGGATTTTGCTAATCTTAGAAGCAACTAGAAACATTTTTATTTAATTAAAATGAGTACACTTTTAACTATTTAGTAGAAAGAGTGATTTGCTACTAAGTCTATGAAACCATTTCTTTTTCTTTTAACAGAGATTCATAGATGCAATTAACAGAAACCCACCAATGATAAATTTCTGCCTAGCGGTGTTCTCAGGTCTTAATTATAAACTCTGGCAATGAAAAACAACTTCAGATCTTTCTCAGCAATAAGGACAGTGAGAAACAGTTACCTCTGAGGTCAAGAATGCTGAAAATGGAGCCTTTGATAGTTTATCTAGGAGATTTAAACATTTCCAAAATAACTGACCCAAACGGCAGAGTGTGCTATTCAAGTTCTTCTGAAGAGAGGTTATAAAATCAAGGCCAGTGGGTTAGTAACCTCTTGATTCAGCAATGCTTGGTGCTATCAACCAGTAAATCAAGGATGGCAGAGAACTTATTTTGGATTGTTTAACTGGTTCTCCATGCACATTATTTATTATGGCATTTGTTGATTATTTAAAATGTGTTAGAATTAAGGTCAGCTATCCATGATGAAGGAGCAAAATTCCCTTTAATTTATTTTCAAATGCTTGTTTCTATTCCTCACTGCTCCTACAGGCTGGGGAGTTAGGCAGGAAGAGAGATTAAATAGCGTTTTAATTAGTCAGCGGATGAAACACCTGCTATTCAACTTGAGCAACTTTCTTCTCTCACCCCAGAAATAAATCATTACTCACTGTTACCAACACAACAAATACCTCTCCTTCCCTTTCCTCACTCTACATCACTTTCTCCTGCTCTTCAAAACACGGCCACTCTTCTCTAAGTACCTTAGATGAATGGAAAGCTGGGGCTGTAAGGGACCCTAGAGGCCATCTAGTCCAAGCCATTGCCCCGGCCTGCCCCCATGCTGAGAGTACATCCATCTGGGGCACGGACTTGCAGCTTTGTGAAACTAATGCCTGTTATTCTCCCTGCTCTCTCCTTTGTCCCTACAGCGCCATGGCTACATATTCTGCCACATGTGCCAACAATAGCCCTGCACAGGGCATCAACATGGCCAACAGCATTGCCAACCTGAGACTGAAGGCCAAGGAATATAGTTTACAGAGGAACCAGGTGCCAACAGTCAACTGAGGAAAAATAATTAAACAGGCCTAAGAAGAAATCAAAAACCATAAGACACCTATCCCGCTCTGTTATTTCTTCATCTGCTGGGGGAAAAAAGTAAATCACAAACAAACAAAAAACAGAACTAAAACATTGGGACCATGGCAGAGAAAAGCAGGAGAGGAGCAAAATGAAAATTAGTTAACAAATGTTCTTCCTCCCTCTGGGATACCACCACCACTTGTTTCTGTGTGTGCTTATTTTGTTTTTCTTCCTATTCATGCTTTGCTTAATATACTCCAAGCTTCTTCAGCTAGGTTCAGCCCACCCAGCCACCCCCATGAGTGTATAAAGTTATTTTAAAAACTACAGCAGCCAAAGAAACTATATATATATCCAGAATGATTGCCTCTAGTCTCCTCATTGACTTGTTTGAACCTGAGTGCCTTACCTGTCCTCTTCCCAGTTCTCTTTATAGAAGCTGTAGCAGCTTTTGAAAAGCCAAAGTCTTTCTGAAGAACCTGTGCCGGACAGACATAATTCCCTTTCTCATTGTCTCCATCTTTGTTGGTCATGGTAAGGTTTTTCCAGCAGCCTCTGAAAAAAGAGTTGTGCACAACATCTGGTCACTGGACTGTCTGAACCAATGTAATTGGCTGTGTCTGGCTAATTCTAAGTACTAAGCTCTACATCTAAGCTATATATTTAAGCTCGAAGCTATAGATTATATCACTATCACCACCACCCCTCACCCCACACAAACCATCAATTATCTTAAGTTAAAGATATTTGTTGTGTTTAAATGATTTGCTATCACAGACCGTTTGGTATAAGAAATATTTTTCACATGAGAGAGGAAGAGAAATTTCTCTAGAAACACAAAGAGTGAGTTGTAAAAGCCATGCCCACATCTCTTTGGTGCCTTAAGGATGGTGAGATGCACAGTTATATATGTACTGTGTGTGTGTGTGTATATATAGATATATATATGAATATATATATATATTCATATATATATGAATATATATATGAATATACATATATATTCATATATATATGAATATATATATGAATATATATGTATATTCATATATATATATATTGCAAACTTGAGTTTCCAGTTTCCCAAACAATACAAAAAGCAAATTACATACCATCACCACTGTTCTTCTCTCTATAGTGATGAGACATTAATTAGGGATCCTGCTGCTTTTCTTTTTCTACACAAAATTCTCATTAAAGCCAGAGAACAATTGATAGGGCGGCTGTTTGAGGACAGGTCTCATTTTCACATTAGGGCTTTAAATGAATTAGAAACTATTTGAGGCTATAAAAATGTCCTTGAGTTTGGAGCCTGAGCTCTGGTGAGATGTTGATACATCTGATCTATCATGGGAATTGCAGTTAGTGAGAAGAGGGAAAACTAGTCATCTACGCTTTCTTCACTCAACAGGAATATGAAAGACACATGTTTAAGTGGAATACCTAAAGGTTTTTCCAAATTCCAACATTTAAAAGGCAATTGTGGGCTATTTTTATTTTTTAATATTTTGAAATAAAGTTTAGTGTCTAGGGCTGGGAGCCAGGACTGATCTTTCATTTCTTTTTCTTTGTTCCCAGCCATGCTTTTGTAACTTGCCAGGTGGACTTGACCAACTACATTACTACCATGCTGTGCCTCAGTTTGTCCATTTGTAAAATGGGGTTAACAATACTTACCTACCTCACAGGGGTGTTGTGAGGCTCTATTCATTTGCTCCTTTCTTCTTTCCTGTATTCTCTGTATGTCCAGCACTTTGTAGCCATGGGAGGAAGGGACTAAAGTGTACAATGTAAATGGGATGATACGGTACCTGGAAGCCTTGTTTTCTAGTAAGGAAATGCTACCTTGCTGTACATACTTATAACCTTGTATTTGGAAATGAGAAATAGGTTTATATTTTCAGATCTCTCAAAAATCACATCATTTGACCAAAGAATAATTTAAGACACATAGAACAGAATATTTTTAATTTATATTTTCATCCTGACCGGCTTAGTTCTAATAACTTTTAGTTGTGAGTAATTAAAAAACTTTGGATCAATTTTGGTCAAATATGCCAACTTTGTACTCTGAGTGACAGACAAGGATTTTGGGGTTTAAGATGCACTTTTAGCACATATTTGTATTTCCCTTGGCATATCAGATTGAGCTAAGGGTGATGTTATTTCAGTCTAATAGCCACCAATCTGAAATTGTATTTCAAATGTTGATTCTGCAGTTCTTTAAATAATAATGAAGCTCATCTTATACATTTTGCTTTCACCAATTGATTCTCTCTTCTTTTAACCTACTATTAAAACATTTGTTACTGAATGATTCAAGTAGGCTTGCTGAACAGCACACATTACATGCTTCCTGAAGAGTTTCTACATTCATCCATCTGTCCCATTAGTTGCTGTAGATTATCAAGTTTTGAAAGAACAGTACATCCCAACAGACTGAAACATTCTTAAGTGAAATGAGTGTAACCCAAGAAAACGGTGAACTTTGGAGGTTTGGAGTTCGGAGAGAATGGCTAAGATTTGAACTATAGGGAGGGAACAGAAATCATACATGAAAAGATTTTATTGAGAAGGGAGAAATCTTAGCTAGAGGGATATGTGAAGCAAAGTCATTTGAAATTTTCATTTGGACATCCATTTCCAGTGGTAAACAGCAAAGCCTGAACCCACAAACCCAAATGACAGGTGAAATTGGGGGGTTCTATTCAATGTCTCGGGCAAGTGATGTCTGGAAATATCATAGAGTAACCAGTGCTGGTCAGCCAAAGTAATATTCACTGCTGGTGAACCAATACCACAGGCATCTATTATCTAAGCACTTGATCAAGAAGTATACATGTAGTGCAGGCTCTCAAATTTGTTCATTTATTGTTGATTTTTAAAAATACAAGTTTGGTATGTGATTTGGAGAAGAAGTGGTTTGGATCTTAAGCCAGTTGTCAGTGGAGGGCTTCAGGGCCACAAACATCAAGACTTATCCCTGTTCCTCACCGTCATGATACCAGATACAGGTGAATACATAGGAACGGTCTGTGTCCTCAATCTCCCTCCAAACAAGATGCTGATTTGTAGGGTACTTGGCAGGTTAAATTAAACCAGAAGAGGTGACTTAATAAAAAAGGGAATGACATTTAGGGTATAAAGATCTCATAAGAAATATAATATGTAAATTATATCTTGCTTTATGTTGTAAAATATACATTGTTTGCGCTAGAATAGAAATGATTTCTTTTCAATAAAAAGAAAGAAGGATACTACCATGTCTTTTGTTATATACATTTGAACCTGTGGATTCTTTTCTCTTTGAACTTCAAAAAACAGATCTGCTAGGATCTGAGATTACATGCAGAAGAGTGAAGGTAAGAAGGGCTTATAGACAAGAAAACTTTATCTGAGTGTGATATTATTTTCTTTGAAACAGGAAAATAATCTATTTTTCTTCAGAAACAAAGACAATGGTCAGAGGAAGAGAGGACATTGATTATTATAACAGATGAGAGTAGAGTGGAACTTTTATTAGAGTTTAGCATTTTAAAAATCAGTATCTTTAGCATTCACAATACCAGACATCATATGAAAAAAAGACTTCATACAAGCATGGCTGTTTGTTTTGGAGTAAAGGAATAGAAAGCTAAAATTTCTTAAGGATCCAGTGTGTATAACATGGGGTGTGTTGTCATGGGGAAGACAGAAAAACCAAATTGTGAGACATAGATACTGTTTTCATCCCAACTAAAATCTGGTATAAAAAGCAACTTTAGCATGCAAAAATATGTAACAGTTCAAGATAATATATTAATAAGTATCAAACAGTATAGATAAAAAAAAGTTCAGAGTAGGAAGAAAGAACATGCTGTGAGCTGAAATGGGAAACGGGTTTTACAAAAGAACTAGGACTTAAATTTTATCACTAAGGTTCTGGACAGGTAAAGAACAGGTGATGGCCATTCAAATGAAGGAGTGGAGAAGAAGCGGTGAAGGCAGGGATAAAGGGATGAGAAATTTGTGTTCAGAGATGTAGGGCAAGATGGACCTGGAAGAGATGGAGAGTTAATTTTAAAGTCGAGTAGAATAAAATACTAGAGATCAAAGTTGAGCCTGTATTTTGCAGGGTACTGCATGTCAGACAAAGATGTTTGGACTTTTCCTCAGGCCACAGAGATACATTGAAGGCTTTTGAGCAGGAGGAAAAAAACGCCATGTGAAAAAAATGCTACTGTAGCAGGATTATTCTGGTAAAAGAGTGAAGGTAAACTAGAGCAGAACAGGAACTGGAAGCAGATCAGATAGAGGTTGCTTCAAGGGAAACAAAAAACAGGATGAATAGGAATCATCTTACAATAAAAGAATCATTGGGACATCGTAGCAAGAATAATAGAATGGAATCAAAGGTAGTATTTGTTTAAAACCTGGGGACTCGGAAAACAAATCACTGACAAAACTGACAAAATCTACCCCAAATGGGAAAGACCCAGCTATAGAAGATAAGTGCAATTTTTGTGGTTTCATTGAAGCTGAAAATTCAAATGTAAGCATCCAGTAAGTGAAGACATAAAAATGGAACTTGGTATCAAAGTCAAAGATGGAGATAGGAGTTTGAAATTAATCTTTAAGGAGGTGATACTTTGAGGTATAAGAACAAATGGGTTCATTGAAATGAGAGAGCACTATTATGACTCAAATAATTATTCCCAGTAAATGGCTTTTGAAAATGGTTTCAGCCAGGAAGGACGATTATACTTTGAAGAACATTTCTAGTTGGGGAGACAGCTAACAAAGTCTATTTAAATGAAGCTCTTTGAAAAATAGGAGGAGCTTTAAGCTTATTTATTATTCCAGAGTTAAGAGAGGTTTTCAAAAAGAAGGGAATGTTTAACATATTCAAATGCTATAGAGAAGATCAGCTAATTGGGAATGGAGGAAAGGCCATTGGATTCATGACTTTCAAGAGTATCTTTTACCAGAGTGCTGGAGGAAGAAGGTTGATTTAGAAAGTTATGATAGAAATAAATGCTTTATAAAAATCGAACCACTTGCTTGGCATTATAAGCTTATTAATAAGGATTCTTTCAGTTGCAGGTAGCAGAAACTTATCAAACTAGTCAAATTTATAAAAAGGCTTTATTTGAAGGACAGCTCACCCAGCCAAGACGTGCTGCCAGAGCCAGGACAGCCCCAGGGATCCTAGACCCTGGAAAAAAGCCTATTCCTGTTTTCATCAAGTTGGGCTGCTGTAACAAGATACCATAGACTGGTAGCTTTAAAAACACATATTTATTTCTCACAGTTCTGGAGGCTGGGAAATCTAAGATCAGGAGGCTGGCAGAGTCGTGTCTGCTAAGGGTCCT